CCGGGGCTGGCCCCAGGCAGCGGGGACCACGGCTGGCTCCTGCCCCTCGTCCCCAGGGGCAGCTGCGTTGTAGAGCCTCGCTGCCAGAAGGCAACTGCCATCCTCTCTGTTAACGGAGAGGCTTGGGCTCCTCAGGGACAAGCTGGGAGCTTGAAAGAAGCTTTTTAAGGCTAGACTGTGCGTTGGCTGCAAGGTTGTGGCATCTCGGGTAAAGAGGAGGGTATCTTTTGCTCTGGCATTTAGCCATCCTTCTGCTGCCTGTCTCAAGGTCTATTGTATTTCCTATGTGAACAGGTTTCCATGATCCTGGGGTTGTGCCAGCCAGGTGGTCAACAGCCACTGCTTATAGACTTGGCAACCTCTTCTGCACCCTATTTTCCTCCTACGCACATGGGGAGCGAAGGTATTCTCATCCTGTAGTCCCGGGTGGGATATGTGTTCAGTGTAGGTAGAACAAAATTGTTGTGCCTTTTCAGTAATATTTTTTGCAGTTGTTTTTCTGCTGTGTTTGATTTTTATCTGGCTATGTGCTATTTAGGTTAGTACATTAATCACTTTTCGTTATGTTCCACTTTAGGTGTGTTTCTATAAAAGGAAATTCACAGTTACAGTCAAAGATGAAAAAGATAATAATACTAATAAAGGTTTTGTTTTCTTTAGGTACAAGCAGCTCCTCAACAAGTGGCTGAAGACAAATTTGTATTTGATTTACCGGACTATGAAAACATCAACCATGTAGTGGTCTTCATGCTGGGAACTATACCATTTCCAGACGGAATGGGAGGATCTGTCTATTTTTGTTATCCGGACCAGAGTGGGATGGCAGTGTGGCAGCTGCTGGGGTTTGTCACTAATGAGAAGCCAAGTGCCATCTTCAAAATTTCTGGTCTGAAATCTGGTAAGACTGGTAAAACATAGCAGTCAGTGAAACAGATGTGTTCCTGCATGCATAGGAGGATAAATGTTTGAAGGTGGTTTTGAACAAAAAGCTACATCAAAAGGCAGCCCACCATTTGTTTTCAGGTAGTCTCTAACAAATGTGGTACTAGAAGCACTCTGACAGCTTTATGACACCTGCGTGTTAATGTTCCTAGCAAAATTTCTCACTTGTCTTCTCTTGTATGTGGTGTTGATCTGGAAATTCCTTTGAGCAGGCTTGACATGCATTCCAGAGCTTCTGCATAGAGAATCTGAGGAAGAATGACCCTGTAACTTCTGTTGCATGGTTTTTAGGCATTTGTCTAGACATGTCTGCAACATTTTCTTTCAGCTTCCACTGTTATGCGGTTATATTCCGTGTAGCACAGAGACAGGTTCTGTAATGAGTAAAGTCTGACGCAGTGATTTCAGACAGCTGCTTCCCACTCAGATGCGGTCGCACTATATAATTGTCCAGTAGAGGGTATCATCACTGGAAAGCAGCTTTCCAAATGTTTTCGTATTTTTGATATAGAACCGAGTCAGACCAGTCTGACTCCTGTGGGAGTCAGAGAATGCTGGTGCCACCTGAAGTAGGTGTGGGTGTTTCTTCTTAAATATATGGGGGTTTTGCCATGCATATTATAAAAATCATGAAGCACCCCAGTGGTACGCCTTTGTCAAGGGACGGATATGTCAGTCAAGCAGCTTCAAGTGTTATGGTGATAAAATAATACACATCTTTTATAGGCTTCAGTGTAGTCTACAGCCTTAACTTGAATCCCTGTTTAGATAGGCATTGAGGTTGCTGTGATAAAATGTATTAATTCATAATGTGAGGTGCTTTCTTTCGAATCAGTCCTGGATGGTAGTGTGAGATAAGGGCTCTCAAGGTGCAGAGCAAAATGAATTCTGATCATATATGTTCCTCAAAAATTTGGTCTTTTTCAGAAGGGCTAACAACCACGGGAGGGGTTTTGGGACCGGGTTTTTGTATATTCCAAAGCTGTAGTGTTAGTGAAACAGTAAAGTGTATCACTGGTTCTTTTGCCGGATTTTGCAGTATGTTTCTCATGCCTGGAAGACTTCCTGTATTATATATTCTTTCAGATAGATTCGTAGGAGAACACATTTTCAGATGCTTTTTGCATGATTAGCCATGATTCCCAAGTAAGGGCTGCTCTCGAGGAAGAACTCTGTGACATGATTTAATGCATTTGCAATGCCGTGAGGCAGCGCTGTGCTTGATCTGAACAACAGAGAGCTCCGCTGTTCCTATTGTTATCTACAGCTTACCTCCGACTGTAGAGTCAGTATAATCCACACAGCCTTAGCTTCCAGGGCCATAAACAACTGTATGATGGAGAAGACTGTGAGGCTGTAGAAAGGGGAGACCAGAGCTGGAATCATTGAGAGACATTACTGACTGTTGAAAACTGCATTTTGGGTTTGACTACCTCAGGCAATTTTTTTTTGAGCAGGCTGTTGATAGACCATATGCATCTGTGAAATGGTTGAGGAGGAGGACAAATGTCAATGGCACATCCTTCAACAAATGTTGGGGTGCTCAGATGTCTCCTGATTCAGAGTAGTAGGTAGCAGTGCTGTTTCACAAAGTTGGAACTAGAATCTTATCCCCTGCCTAAGAAGTATTAGGCGATTATGTTCGTAGCTTGGCTTTTGAGGCTTCATTCATGTAAAATAGCAGTTTAAAGCTGAATGACTCCGTTGTCAAGGTGTTTTCAGCATTATCACTTTTTCCGGGAGCATTGGGGGCGTCAGGCAAAGTTGTAGGCAAGGCTCATGAGAAACACAGAGGTTGCACAGATATTTCTAACTTGCTGAGTGCAGGCTAATGTGAGAATGCTGAAGGCTAATTTGGAAAATTAATAGCAAAACAAAGTTGATGTGGGTATTGCAAAACGTAGTGTAATAAAGAGACTGCCTGTCACTTTTATGAGCTGGAACAGTGTGGAGAGCTTTTAGAAGTGTCTAGACTGTGTCAGCTTTTTTGTTAGGTTATGTTGGGAATATGTGCATTAAAAATTATGAGAGTACATGTAATTTTTGTAACATGGATGCCGTGTATTGTGACATCAGCTTGCTTCCTCAGGACATGATATAGTAGTATTAATAGCTATGCTACAGAGTGAAAATACTGTGGAGTACTGTGTTTGCTGGAACTTAATCCCATCTTGAGAGGAACAAATTTGCATCCCTAATTGTGAGCTCCCTGTGAAGCAGTGGTTGTAGCAGAGTTCTGCTGTGTGATTAAGAGGGACGGAGTGTTTCTTATGTGGACATGAGTGGCCAGCTGAGCTGGCATAGTGTTTTATTTCAGACTTTGGGAAAGGTTAAATGTATCATTTGTAAATCTTAAATTTAGTGTCTGAAATGCCCTGGAACTGTACGGGTTTTGTGATGTGTGTAACTTCCTGGTTTTGCATGTTGTTGTAAGGCCTGGTTGGGCTGTTAAATACAGTATCTGGGGATGTGGTATTAGATTTCTGAACTATGAGGGTCAGGTAAAATAGTGTTGCCCCAGGTTTTTTTGTTTGCCTCTCTCCTTCCTGTCCTGTGCTCGCTTGGGAAAGCCCCAGTGCAGGTGAACATTGCAGTGTTTGCAAGTGGGATACCCAAACATGAATTAAAGGGGAAATCACTTTTGTGGAATACATTCTTCAACGTGAAAGTCATTTGTGAAATAGAGCCTAAATTATAAATCTGGACACCTTTTCCTTGACTATAGGTGCTATTTAAACTCGGTTAACTTTCTTTGAATAAGAGATTTCCAGATTGGGTCTTGAAGGTGTCTCACAGGAATGTCATAGTACCCTCTAAAAAGATTCCTTCAGAGCTCTTCTGTAATCAGGAAAAGTTTGTTGAATTGTATTTCTTAATAGTCTTAATACAAACTTAGTATATCTAAAAGCAGGCTCTTCTGTTGTTGTTCTTGCCAACTTTTAACTATTCCTAAAAGCTGTGCTGTGAGGCTAGAAATGTAAGTGCTTGTGTGGTTTGGGGGGGTGTTTGGGTTTTGTTGTTGTTTTTTGACCCCTTGATTTAGCAAGTAAAATGTTGCATCTGCTGATACTGATTATAGGTCTAGGAGTCAAAAGCCTAAAGTGTCCAGCTTTATTACATGTTTATTTTTGAGGATTAATTATCATGTGAGATGGCAACTGGCTTTGCGGTAACCATTAAATCTGAATTATTTTTTTTCTCTTCAGATGTAATCTTCATGTTTGCTGGAAATAAGACTCAAATCAACTCCCTTCCCCCACCTCCGCCATCAAAAATTGTTAGTTAGAATTCATGCTAACAGCTGAATGATGTGTGTTTGTGAGGTTTGGGTGTTTTCTGGTCATTTCCCTACCCCGCAGTGGGATGACAGTCAATGTGTATTCTTTCATGCTCTTGCTCTTCCCACCTCTGGATTTTTCATTACAGGTGGAATGTTGTAACAGCCTGTGGTCAAGGCAGAACAGAATATTTCTGCCTTTAACAAAGCTGAGTGGCTTCTTTAGTGCCCAGAGGAATAAAGTAGCAATAAATCTTTGTGAAAGAGGCTGAGTTGGTCTCCTAAAATTGTGCAATTTCTGCACTTGTGTAATAAACTGCAGCTGCAATCAAATGTTGCAGTAAGATCCCTTGGTGCATGTTGGAGCTGCACTAATAGTCCTGTATTGCACTGTAATCATTCATTAAGGTCACTGGCATTCCTAATGGCATCGCTGTGAGCTTTATCACTCAGCACAGGGAATTTGTGTTCAGTTCTCACGGTGTGACTAAAGAGTTCAAGTGTTTTGCTTGGGCTCCTGATGCCCTTGCAGACCATGACTGCTCTTGGAAGGCAAGACATACATACATCCTGCTGGGTTTTGCCACAGGTGTTGTGTTTAGGTTGCCTTGGACAATGTTGTGGATAGAAGTTTTGCTGGCCTTCCTTCTCAAAGCGGGAAGTTACGCTGGAGGGAAGCAGTTTGGGCCCAGAGGATCACCCTTTAGAAGAATGCCATTGCTGGCCGTTGTCACTGTTGCTGCCATGTCTGTGCTTTTACATCTGGAGCAGAATAATGGTGGTAACACTTCAGTACATACAATTATATATTCTGCTCTGACTGCATGTTTTTTACTGTGATTCACATAAAGAAGGGGCTTAGAAATACTCCTTGCCTTGGAATTATAAGGTTTTTTATTTTTCAGCTGTGCCTGAAAGTGCAGTAGGAATAGATAACAAACCTTGAGCTGGGATTTTGTACCCTTACTGGAAGTATGTTGACAAGTGGGATAAAACTTACAGGATAGCCTTTTCCATTACAGACTTTTTCTCCTGTGCAGCATGCACTGATGTGTGTAATGCTCTGTTTTCCACTTAGAAATATACATTCTCATGTAATGTCCGCATTTGAGGCGGACCCATGGGTAAGGCTTTTGGTGTGGTTGGGCTGAAAGGGAATGAGGGCTAACCAGCTTGAATCAAGGATTCAATGAATGGACAGAAAGAGGTGGAAAAAATATTTTTCATATTGCAGTTGCTCTGCTATGATATAGTAAGTTGGAGAGTGTAGGGTCTGAATGTGAAAACCTGAGCTTGTATTTCAGTACCAATTAGCATACTGTTTTCTTTGTATTTGTAAAGTTTGGAATGTTTATTCCAAGAGTCCAGCGTTGAAAATGTGGAGTGTATTTCAGTGGGTGTAAGGATGGCAGGCAATGCTTTTCTCTCACCCTTTGAGGCAGGCATCTTCCCAGGAGCATGGTTCCATGGGAGTGCATGCAAAGTGACAGAACGGATATATTTTAGTATTTAGATCATGAGTGTCTTTCTAAAGTAGTGATATACTGTGATGGAGCCTGTTGCTTGAGGATGTTGTATTTTTATTGTAAATGTCAGCTTCTCAGGTGAAGATGTTAAAAGATGTAAAACTTGTACCAGCTTTATTGCTATTGGGTTTCTGAATGTGCATTCTGTATGGGTTCTGAGATCTTCAGTCTTTCAGCCTCAGTTTGACTTCTCAAACTTGTTCTGGTTTTGCTGTCTGGGTTTTTGACCGTGGAACTCGGGCAGATGGTGCTTTAGGTTTCTGATAGCCTTTCCTGCAGCTCAACATAGCATTGACTGGTCTGTAGGACAGCTCTTGGTTAGCTTTGCTTTCTTCTGCTAGTAAGAGCCCAGAGAGTGCTACTGAAACATGACTTCTGTGTAAGAATGTACTTCACTACTGAGTTCACTTAAACTTAGGTGGAGTATTAGTACTTGTTTACTAATAGCATTTTGGTCCCCCAGACCTTTTTCCTGTATTTTCCTTTACAGATGCTGACAGAGGAGTGCATGATTTAAGTGACTCTAGATGCCTGTCATTGTTTGCAGAGACCCTAGCTGAAGCTGGGACTGAAACTACTGGTTAATGCTCAGTTGAGAAAGGTCAGAAGTGATGGCAGAGGGCTGGGATGATGCCTGGATGAGTGGTATGCAATTTGGGGGTGTTTTTCTGCCCCATTCATTGTTTCCTTTGTGGCTCTTGCAGAGTCAGAGGCCCTTCTGTTCCGAGGCTATTCCTTTGACCTTTGCTGCTGTTGGTGGTTTTGAGGTGTTCAGATGAGACACGGGGCTGCCTGGCCCTCCACAGGGATAGATTTGAGTCAGAGTGATCTTCAAGTAACGTTCTCTATTTTCTCAGTGCACAAACAGGTTCACAAGCATCTGGTTTGAATCAACTGTACAACAGTGCTGCATATTTCCTGTTTATCTGCAGTTGTTACAATGTGGATTAAAGGATTGGTTCCTATAGAGAAAGGTTCTGCTGTCTTTTTATCACAGATTATATTTTCTGTTGAATCCATTTACTTCATAGCTTTAAAATTATTTTAAATCTTTTTCCTTTTTTTTTTTTTTTTCTTTTAGACATTTCCTTAAGATCTACTGTGTTTTTTAAATGTATCACACTGTTTCATCTCTTGTGCTTGTGCCTGTGCTTGGACTGTGTGATTTTTTTCTGTATTTCTGAGATGGCGAGATCTTTCTGGTGGGAGTTGAGGAATACCTTCTAGAGAAGGAAACATGACAATTTAAGTAACGCAGTCTTTACATGTGTGCCAAGTCTGACGTGTGCTCTTTGTGGTGCTTTCAGGGAAGGGAAGTCAACATCCTTTTGGTGCCATGAACCTCCCTCAGACACCAACAGTGGCCCAGATTGGAATCTCCGTGGAACTTCTGGAGAACCTGGCCCAACAGACTCCTGTTGCAAATGCTGCTGTGTCATCAGTAGATTCGTTCACAGAGGTAGCTTCGACATTCTGTTTTCAGAAATTCTCTGTGCTATGAAAGTCTTAAGAATTGAGCCTCTGAAGAACTAATTTAAAAAAAAAAAAGCTGCTATAGGATTGTAACCAACCTAGAAACTGTCAAATCATTTGGCTGGATGCTTTGATATTTTGAAATGACTTTTTCTTGCACTGGAAAACTACATCTCCTGTGAAGGATTGGATTTTGCATGCTTAGGGGCATCAGGCCAACAGACTTGTGTTGATGTCCCTCTCCTATAGAAATATTTATGAAACTTCCTTATAGGAGCAGCTATGACTAAATGCATGGAGGAGACAGTGGATCTTTGGTGATTTGTAGGTGCTGGAATTCCAGTGCATAGGCTTGCAGAGATGGTCAAGAATTACTCAAAAGTCAAGGCAGACTTGGGCATGGATACAGACAGATATCCAAGTGACCCATGACAAATCCTTTGGCTGTAGTCCTGCAGACCTACTGAATCATGCCCTCTCGCACAGAAAGATGTATTTTTTTAGTTCTTTCCCTGTGGTCCGGGCCTTGGGCTGCAACACTTGGCATTTTTACCCAGCCTGTCAGTTAGTTTGAACCTCTGGAAATCCTCAGCCGGCACTGGCAGCTAACTGGCCATCTAACAGCAGTTCAAGGCAAGCTAGATCTGCATGGCAGGTCGTGATTTCCCTAACACTGATGGCTCTGACATTATCTTTTAACATTGCAGAAGTTGGGGAGGCTTTTCTTGAAGCTTTTTTCCTGTTGTGTTTTAGACGACAATGCTATTACTTCATATATGAGATGTGTATCTGTTAAACTTTTGCACAAAAATTCAAATTGAAAAAAGAACTTAACTTAAAATATCTTTTTTATTTCAGTTCACTCAGAAGATGTTGGATAACTTCTATAACTTTGCTTCCTCATTTGCTGTTACTCAGGCACAGATGACACCAAATCCTTCTGAGGCTTTTATTCCTGCAAATGTAGTTCTGAAATGGTAATGGCAATGATCTCTAGTAACAAGTGTTCTTTTCTCTAGGCGTTAAACCAGCTGATTTCTAAGTACTGAACTACTGTCATGCTATTCAGTGAGATGATGCAAAAATGTTTAAGTGTGATTTATTGTTTATCTCAAGTACAGAGAGGTTCTATCAACTGTTTTTATTTTTTTATATATATATTTATATTTTTTATACTTGTCAGCATCTTCCTACCAATTTTTTGTTAGAAAAGTGCTATACAGCCCATGAATTTTTTCTGCTTCTAGAAATGTCACCCTTGACATATGCACAGTTGCTGATTATGCAAATGCTCTGGAGTCATGGGAAGACAGCCCACACTAACACTTGTCAGTTTGTGCTTATTTGTTACGCTTGGTCTCTTCCTGGACGTAGTTCCAGCAGAGTTCCATTGCTTAAGAATATGAGAGGGGTGGAGAAATATGTTTCTAGTTGACCCAGTTCTATCATCAAGACCCTTGAGCACAAATGAAAGTCGCTCTGAGAGTTGTTTTCCAAGGACTGGTTTAAGAAATCACAGTCTGTGGGGACAGCCTGTGTAGTTTGGAGATAAACTGTGAACTGCAGGCTATCCTTTAGGGTGTCTGAAATTCTTCCCTACAGTTTATCAGTTCAGCTCTCTTTAGCCTCTACAGTATTAACCTAAACCCTTTTTCAAACAGTATTTTTGGCTCTCTGAGTACAGTTTTATAATGAGTACAGATCTTGTGAATATGTAAGCAGTTTATGTAAGCAATATGTTCTCTTTGGGAGTGTAACTTGATGCAGATCTCTTCTATTTAGAAGGTGACTCTACACATTCCATGAATTGATGTGGGTGAGGTCTCTGATGGGAGAAATCAAAGGGAAGACAGGCTAAAGAAGCAGGGCAATGGCTGGTCATTGCTTGGATGATGCTGAATTTGCTTTCAGTTGTTGTTCAAAACAGCATTGTGAAGTGAGGCATAACTGTAACAAACTGAACACATTTGTGTACAGAAATCTGTTAAGTGTCATTACAGCCACAGCAAAATAACATTTTTTTGGCTCTGTTCACGTTTGTGAGTCATTATAGTGCGTTTAATTGTAGCTTCTAATATGTAGAGTATCTTGGGTCTCTGCAATGGGCTGGCTGCAATGGAAATTCAATAGTTTGTCTTAGAAATTAATTCATAAATAAGCCTTTCTCTAATTTGAGTGGTTTTAAAACCTTTTAGAGTTTCTTTTCTCATTTGAGTTGGGTTGTGAACTATGAGATGGAGGAGAACCTTTTTTTGTTTGTTTCATTGGCAGTACCTTTTGATACCTTATAGCTTGGCTTTGTGGGGATTTAAAGGGGGTTTTAGGCTTCTGTAGCTCAAAGCCTGTAGTTTTTTGGGTTTTTCATTTGTGTCATTTTATTTGCAACAGCTGCTGTTGGGTTTTTTTGTTGTTTTTTTTTTCTCCAGGTATGAGAACTTCCAGAGACGTCTGACACAGAACCCTCTCTTCTGGAAAACATAAGCTTAAATGTTGTCACTGGAAGTGCTTTCTAAGCAGCGCTATCTGAAAGATGCGGCAAGTAACTCCGCTGAAGAATTTGAGGGAAAAAGAAAACGATTAGTCTGAATAGACGAACTTGTAACTTTTGTATTACTCTTGAAAATTATTTAAAATTAAAATCCATTAAAACTACTTGCCTGTGTGTTTTTTTTTAATTGAAGTACTTTGCAACAAGAAATCAGTGTTGCATGTGTAGAAATATCTTTTTGAAACTGCATTTGAAGAGGAAGAAATTACAAGAGGAAAATGGCATCACTGTTTTATACTTGTGTGGTGTTTGGGGGTGTTTAGTTGTAAACAAAATAAATGTAGTTTTTCCTTCTTTACCTCATTCTGAAGGGTAATCAGTCAACGTGAGAATATCCTGATGGTTGTCCTGCAGGTACTTACATTTTTTTTCACTTTGTGGACAAACAATATTCCAGTCCCCAGCTCACATAAATGGTACAATAGTATTTCCCTGGTTTTGGTGTGAAGACACTACTGGGCTTCATGTCAGGGTACCTGTCTAAATTTTCCTGTATGAAAGTATAATGAAGAGAAATCTTTTTTCCCTGCTCCAAATCAAAGAGCTTTGAAAAGGCTGTTGCAGGCCAAGTCAGAGCTGTGGATTTGTACTTTGCAGCCCCGGACTGTTCAGTAAGATGAGAGCTGCTACATTCTGACTTGCTCCTCAAGGCCACTGCCAGGAAAACAAAAATTTCTGTTGGCTTCAGTGGCTGAAGAACGAAGCGAAGCCTTTAAAGATTATTTTATCAAGTAAAGTCAGCCTTAGGAACAACTGCTGTGAGAATGGGAACACACTCTTTTGAGGCCTTTGTAACTGCTCAATGACATTTCCTGGGTTCACACCTCAGCTGTAGAACAGATTCTTTCTCTCTTTGTGTAATAGCCGAGGACCCCACCAGCGAGACTCACAGGAAAGAAAGTGTGTGAGCTCAACCTGGGGGCCACAGGAGGAGAAAATAGACAGATGAGGCCCAGCAAAGCTGTGCAAGAACTGCTCGGGAAAAGTAAAATTAATTACATGCCAGGTAATTTACAAAGCTCCAAGTTGTTTCTCAGAAACTTGGTTTCCTGCTCAACCAAGGACTTAAAGAACATTTGCAGGCCCCGTCTTCTCTCCTGTAGTTGTAACAAACTGTTGTTTGTGGAGAAGCAGCAACGAGGGCATGTAGCGGTGAGGCCTGTCTCAAACTCTCTCTTCAGAAAGGGTGTTGGGATCATTCTGTGTGAGCTGCCAAATCCTGCTGCCGGGTTTAGCAGCTTTGTTATGCAGATGGCAGATGCCTCACATAGCTGCCGATGTCAGAAGTGGCATCAGAAGAAGAAACAGGGAGCAAATGGAAGCCAGAGTAAAAGCGTTGTTATGTTGTGGCACAGCACCAAAGGCTGCTGGTGGTCATTGCTGGGGTTCTCACGCTTCTAAGGAAGCATCTGCCTGGTGTGGAAGTAAAATAATTAACACTTCCTAGGCTTTTGCAAGGCCTCTCTAGTTCAGAAATAACATGTCAGCATGACCTAAGAGCCTTGCTGGGTCAGCTTGATTTAATTAACAAAGGAATGAATTATTTATAAAAAAGAAGTCCTGCCTAGAGCTTCCTTATCTGACTGTCTGGAGCATCCCCTATACGAAGGAGTCCAGAACTGCTTCTGTTCTGACCTGAGCAAAACTGCGCTCCATTGATCCCCAGATGCTGGTGGGATTGTTTTTTGGGCCTCAGGAAGCCAAACGAGCCCACAGGGTGGGATGGCTAAGGCTCTGTGGCACAAGCTTTGTGACTGCTCCTGCCCTGGCTCCAATCTTTAAGGCTGTAAATTAATATACATAATAATATGCATCTTGAATAATTCAGCAGTGTGCACCCACTGTGGGTTTGGCAGGTGTTGTCCCTGAACTTGGTGAGTGTGGTACACGCTTGAGACCATCTCTGTAAATCACTTTGCTTTCCTTTCCAACCTGCTGGGGCTGAGCTCACAGATCAGAAACTTGCAGAAGGAAGATCCCACTGCCCTTCGAATGGTATCAGAGAGGTGCCCTGCAACACCACTATGAATGTAAGAATTCAATTATTTCTATGGGCTGTTTATTTGAACTGCCAAGCTGTGCTTCTCAAGTGCTTTTTCTTTCGATCTCACCCAACTTTTGTTCATATGGCTTTGTCCTAAAAGATCCCAAAGCAGTCTTTACCATTTCTTTGTGATAAGAAGAACAAAAGCTGGATCACTATTGTTCAAAGTAGAAGCCTAAAACTGAGCTATTCAATCACCTTTTATACTATCTGGACTTCAGAAGTGAAGTCTGCAAATTTTTGGTTTGCCCTTATTTTTGTCTGTTTTGTCCCAAACTTCGGACATACGCATGCTTTCTGAAGTAATGAGAATGAACAGGAGATGAGAAACTATCCCAAAAGATTTTTTTTTCTCTTTGTAAGGGATAACAAAGATGTATTGGTCTGCTTGAAGAACAGAGGATTTTCTTGTTGAGGAGTGGAATAAACCTCTTACTGCATTTTCCTCTTGCAAGAGAAATAGTTTTAGTGTCTTTTCTCTGCATGTTTCAGATGAAAGGGAGAGCCAAGCAAGGGATTAGATTTTGTATTCTGTTTTCACGATTGAACAGCCAAACACTTCTTCAGCATACCTACCTAGCCACATACGTATCTCCCAACAATACTTTTTCCCTCAACACGTGGATTTAAAAAGGGGAAAAAAGATTATATAGAAGTAGTTCAGGAATAAGCCTGAGGAGAAACAGAAAGATACAATGCACATGTCAATCGAGCCTGCCTTTTACATATCTTTTTTTTTTTTCCCTGACACACAATAAAAAAAAATCCTTCCCCTGGGTAGTTCCAGAGAGGTAATCCCTGAAATAATTACAACCTATATGTAATATAAATTATTTTGTAAAGGTCCTCCTACAGCTAGAGTATTTTTCCTTTGTGCTGTTGCCAGTTTCTTGCTATTTAAGAGGTTAAAAACCCCTTAAAACAAAGAACAGACTGTCTAGTGATCATTAGGCTTTGAGATTGAACATGTCCTGCCATGGCAGCCTCATAACTATGACAGCAATAGACTTATTTCACCCCATTTTGGGACATTTTCCCAATCATTTTTCTTCCCAAGTCAATGTGAACTGGTAGCCAGAGTTGGGAAAGTTTATTTTCAGGAAAGCCTATTTTCAGTTATTTTCAGATAACTGTTTCTGGGTTCACCCTCACCTCGACAACACCGCCAGAGGCAAATTAAAAAATACAAGAAGCAACAAGTGCATATCCTGCTCCTGGCTTCTGCTGAAACAGATGCAAAATCCATGAAAAGTATTCAAGATTCTAATTATGCGGAGGGATTTTTATTTTTTAAAGAAAGAGTTATGATAATTAAAGAAACCAAATATTTTTCTGGCACACAGATCCCCTCCTATGCTGGCAGCTAAGCATTCCCAGCTGAGCCTGAAGGCTTCCCTGCAGCACTTGTAGAGGAAATATTTCTCTTGACTTTCAGCTGTGGAACCAGAATTCCTCAACATCATCAGCAGTGAGAAAACCCCCAGGAGGCTTGAAACACACCAAAGAAAACATGCACTTCTACATCTACGAGGCAGGGCAAATTCAATCCACATTTGAGTGAAATTCTTCAGCTTAATATTAGAAGGCTCAAGAAGAACCAGATTTAAAAACTACATTGCAGTAACTTTTTTTTTTTTTTATTCAGTCACCACCAGATGGAGTAGAACCTCAGGAAACAGGACCGCAGTCTCTGAGGAAGCCAGACACTTCTAACTGAACCACTCCTTTAACAATCAGGAACTTATTTTCTACTTCCACCTGTGCTACAAACTTTCTTGCTGACTCTGGACAAAGTCTTGGCCTAAAAATCAGGACTATAGTCTTAAGACAAAAATTTATTAAATTTCTAAGTCTCTGAAAGCTGGCAGGGAAAGACAAGAACTTCCAGGTACCTCTTCTCTGCAACTTATTTTTTTATGAAGGAATAAAAGATTAATCTGTTCAGAGAGATGCTCTGTGTGCAAACTTTCCAAGAGTACAATAGTACTCTTCATGCAGAGATCACGCAGAGCAGACATCTGTAATGCTTGCAGCCTCCTGAAGCAGTTTCCTGGCTGCACTGCATCAGAACTGGAGCCAGGCAGAGCCTGACTTTACCTCTCTCTCATCCGCCTTTTGCTGAGATGGGAAACAGAAGGCAGTTACAGAATTTGTCAAAGAACAGAACTACAGGTGGCTTGCAAACAACTGCAAAGAACACATTAATGTATTTGAGGATATTTTTGGTAGATTTCTCCAATACTAGGGTCAAGCAAAACTTTTGTTGAAGAACTTAGGCGCTGGAGCTCTCAAGATACGTGGGTGAGCACAGTTTCAGTTTACATAAAGGTGTATATATTAAAAAGATAAAGCTTTTGGAGAATATTGAACTCTTTTAAAAATTCTTTTGCAATGATCGAGGTTGGCCTGTGCAAACCTCACGAAGTTCAACAAGGCCAAGTGCAAGGTCCTGCACATAGGTCGGGGCACTCCCAAGCACAAATACAGGCTGGGTGGAGAATGGATTGAGAGCAGCTCTGAGGAGAAGGAGTTGAGGGTGTTGGTTGATGAGAAGCTCAACATGAGCCGGAAATGTGCGCTGGCAGCCCAGAAACCAACCGTGTCCTGGGCTGCATCAAAAGAAGCACTAGCAGCAGGTCAAGGAAGGTGATTCTGCCCCTCTACTCTGCTCTTGTGAGACCCCACCTGGAGTGCTGTGTCCAGTTCTGGGGCCCCCAATGCAAGGACGTCGAGCTGTTGTAGCGGGTCCAGAGGAGGCCACAAAGATGATCAGAGGGCTGGAGCACCTCCCATACGAGGACAGGCTGAGAGATCTGGGGTTGTTCAGCTTGGAGAAGGCTCCAAGGGAGACCTTACAGCAGCCTTCCAGTGCTGAAAGGGGGCTACAGGAGAGATGGGGAGGGACTCTTCATCAGGGAGTGCAGGGATAGGACGAGGGGTAACTATTTTAAGCTGAAAGAGGGTAGATTTAGATTAGGCATTAGGAAGAATTTTTTTCCTCCGAGGGTAGCGGGGCACTGGCCCAGGTTGCCCAGAGAAGCTGTGAATGCCCCATCCCTG